TCAGTTCTTTTATCTATCATTATCATGTTTAGTGAAACATTTTCTGAAATGCTATCTGGACACATTTAGAGCTAGATGGACTGCATGGTCTAGAAAATAAAAAATCTTTCTGGTGAGACAAGTAATGAACTGTGCCTGTGTGCACTTGCAGACAGCCGTTGCATGATCTGATATTATCATGTTGCTGCCATTACTGGAAGCAGCCAATCACATGTGAAGTCATAGTGAGAAACACAACAGAACATAAATTAAAATTATAGGTCTTTTTTTGTAGAATGTTTCTCTAACTGATATCTTTATCCTGTCTTACCCCCTTCAACCAGAAATGGTTGTAGCAGATAGCCGCCCCTCCCTGAGCCTGGTTCTGACAGAGGTTTCTTCTGGTTAAAAGGGAGTTTTTCCTTCACACTGTTGCCAAAGTGCTGCTCATAGGGAGTCATCTGTTGTTGGAATTGCCTCAGTTTTCTCTGTTTTATTGTAGGGTATTAACCTTACAGTATAAAGCACCTTGATTCAGCTGTTGTGATTTGGTACTATATAAATAAATAACATTAAACTGAAAGTGGTTAATTCCTAATAGACAAACTATAGCTAAACATTTATATTAGTAGATGGCTCTGTTTGGTCTTCCTGACAGTGTTAATTAGATAACCAGTGTACTAAAATTTCACCATATAATACTTACCTTCCTGTGGATAATCTCTTCTCCACTGGTTTCCTTCAAAAGGAGGTAGACCAGGAGCTTGTATGGGTGGTGCTGGTGGTATAAAGTCATCTAGATCGGTTGTTGATATCCTATAGAAAAACAGTTGTCATAAGTGGCACTGGATTCTTTAAAAGATGCCCCCGACCCTCCAAGAAAATGAAACAAACAAACCCCCAAACAATTGTTCACTATTTTACCTATCTCCCTGGTTGCTGAACAGGTAATCAGAGTAAGTAGAGGTGGAAGTCCCTTCTGGTGGGAGCACTTCAGCTTCAGCTCCAGCCAGCAGATCCATGACAAAATCTGAGCCAGCTAAATCAGACCAGCCGTCATCGATTGAAAAAAGAGACACTGACCAGCCCTGTACCACCTCCGAAACACCTCTATGGCACAAAACAACACATTACACAAAATTTTAAGGAAGCTAACATTAGTTAGCAAAGTGGGGGAAATCACATATGTTTACAACTTATACCTGAAATGAAGAATCCACGATGCTAGCTGCTCTCCTGTGGTCCAAGACTCCACTTCAGTTACAAACTTCTCATCTGAAATAAAACGCCAAATGGTGTTGTGAGTTTATTAAAGCTGATATTTTTGCACTGCCTTTAGGCCCACTGATCCAGTTTCATGGTACAAAAATGGAAATGTTCAGTTAGTCTCACCATTGTAGGTGTGAACGTCTACCAACATGGTTCCCTTCCTCTGGTTGGACGTCCATTCCAGCTCGGTGGGTGGGTACATCCGGCAGGTTGGAGATGGAAGCTTCATAGATGTCAGCAGTTTATGTTGGCACAGTGAACGGGACTCCCCTGGACCATAGTCAGATACATACCTGCAGGGGTTAAAGTGGGTTGTAACAATCTAGACCAGCATTCAGTGACTGAGTAACAAAATCTGACAGTTTAATAAAGAGTACTGGGAAGCAAGTTTATTTGTCATGTGCTGCAGTCTCATAGTCGTTTAAGCTGATGCGACAGAGGAAGTTATGATTATGGTCTGAAGTTTAAATACCTTCATCATGGACGTGAATGACATCATAATTTGAGGTTTTTAATGATTTCTTTGAACTGTTCTTTTATTTAAAAAAATAAAAATCAGGTGCAAAAATGTGTTCCAGTTTTATTTGGTATTTTCTTAAATCAACACAGAGTCAAAATTATACAATCAGGCTCAAATAATTTATCCGAGCATGTTCATCAGTTGTAAATAAGATGTGCCACCACTTTGCGAAAGTCTGAAGAAGATCCAAACTGTCACCCTCAGATGAACAAAAAATGGTTAGGATGTTCAGGAACAACCAAAGCTCAAACTTGTCATGAACAAGAAAGTACTTGATGGTCAGAATCACTGTCCAAAGTGAAGCGAGTTTTACTCTGTGATTATACTCAGCACGCTCAACTGAAATTGCAAATGCGTCCTGGATAAATTTTTCACAAATTCATTCACACACACATGAAATTGAGTGACATCCCATTCTTAATCCATTGAGTTTAATATGATCTCGGCACATCTTTTGCAGCTTTAACTGCTCTGGGAAGGCTTTCCACAAGGTTTATAAATGCGTTAATGGGAATTTTCTGACCATTCTTCCAAAAGTGCATTTGTGAGGTCAGACATTGATGTTGGATGAGAAGGCCTGGCTTGCACTCTCTGCTCTAATTCATCCTTTTGGTGTTCTATAGGGTTGAGATCAGGACTCTGTGCAGGCCAGTGCAGTTCTTCCACACCAAACTCACCCTTGTCTATATGGACCTTGCATGGTACACTGGTGCGCAGACATGTTGGAACAGGAAGGGTCTATCCCCAAAGTGTTCCCATGCACAATGCGTTTAGACAAATACTGTTTTTCTGGTATATCATTCATCAGATTGTCAGACACAGTGTCATTCATCATTTCAGAGAACATGTATCCACTGCTGTCAGTGTTGGGAAGGTTACTTTTAAAATGTATTCCATTACAGATTACAGAATACATGCCCCAAAATGTATTCTGTAACGTATTCCGTTACGTTACTCAAT